ACCATTGCTCCTATCCCCTTCTCTCATGTCCCTTTTTCAAGGAATTTCAACCATATCCCCTACACTCCTATATCCCTTCCTTCCTTTGTTAATGAGCCTATTGGGGACCCCCTTGCCTATGAAGATTTTTATGTCCCTCATTCGTCTTCAATTGAGGAAAAGGGTGATTTTGCCACCCAAAAAGATTTTTGTGAAGAGAGTTTGCCATTCTATTCTTCTTCTTATTTTCTTGAATTTTCTTTTGATTCTTCTTCTTCTTGGAAACTCCCTCTTCACCTTCTTTTGCGTGCACTAATCTTGGTGCATGCCCTTCTTATATCATTTGCTTACTTGTTATCTTATGAGATGTGTAGTAGTGCATTTGACAAGCTCTTGCGATCGTTGCAATATTATTTACTAGAGCGGTCAAGCTTGGACCTTAAGCAAGCCTTTCTCGGGAAGTAACCCGTGTTTTATTGCTTTCATTTTCTTTTCTTTTTAGAATAGTTTTTGGCCTCATGGAAATGTTTGTGTGCTTGGTGCTAGGCACATAACTTAATATACTCTTATGCATTGGTTTGGATCAAGAATCAAGGAAGTTTGACTCCACTTTTGCTAGCACATGGAAAACAAGATTCAATTTTAGAGGTAGTCGGCTTCAAGAAGGTTTAATTGGGTCATTTGCGAGTACTATACCCACCTAATATCCGGTAATATCCTTCCTTGCTCTTCCTCTAATGATTTGTGACTTGTTGGACAAATGTTGGTTGGTTGGATGACTTTCTTTCTTTTCTCCTCCCATGGATTCTTTGGTTTAAAGTTTGAGCATGTTGCCTCATTCAAGCTTGGGGGAGGGTATTCTATCATGTTTGGTGGAATTTTGATTCATATATGCCATGCACATTTGTATATGCTTTTCCATTTTCTATGTCTTGAAAATCACAAAAAGATTTTTGTTTCTATCAAGGCAAATTTGCAATGTATTTTCTTTTGTTCTTGCTTTGGACATAATACTTTTGGACTTGTATTCTTGAATGCCTTTCTTCCTAAATTTTAGAGGTGTGCACGGTTTGAGAATGTGTTAGGTTGACTCTAGGATATGGTATGCTAAGGTAGTTGGCTAAGAACTTTGGGACCATGAAGCTCTAGTTCACTTGCTTGTGGTAAGATGAAGTTGCTCTCTATAGTGGATATGAAATCAAGAGTTAGTTATTGCTATCCCTAGTGATGTATAATTGTTCTAGCCTTCATCATACTTTGTTGAGCGGCATATTTGGATCCTTGGCTATTGCATTCTCATATCTAGAACTTGACTTTTAGCTCCCAAGATCGCGACCGTGCCACTTTAGGGGATGACAAAGGAATTTCTCTTTTTATAGGATAGATTTTCTATTTTTGAGTTTAGTTTATATTTGCCCCTCTTGCTAGCCCTTTTGAGCCATATACCTTCTTTTCTCTAGCCACAATACAAGCCTTGAAGCCTTGGTTTCACTTTAAATCCTACCTTTAGTTTGTGAAGCAATTTTGTTTTGGAGCTTGTTTTATTGTTTATGGTGCAAGTTTAGAATTATAAGTTCATTTGCAAAGCAAGTATGTGTTGTATATAATTTTTTGCATAAAACCAAATACATTTTGAGAAAAAAAGCCGTCCAAAGTTAAAAGAGGCAAGGACATTTAAAAAAAAAAAAAAAAAAAAAGCTTGGAAAAAGGAATTATTGAAAAAAAAGGTAAAGAAGAATGTAAAGCACAAAAAAAAAAGGGGTTTTGTTATTGTTGTTCTCCCTATTTTTGTTATTTTGTGTTAAATAAGCTTGGGGGAAAGTTATTTAATAAGCATACTTGGCACTTTTGTTTTGGAATCGTTTGGATCTTGTGGAAGAAGTTCCACCCGTGCTTCACATAGGTTTACCACCAATTTCAAGAGTTCTCCACACCTTTACTCTCCTAGCTTATATGTTAATACCTTGAAAGTCCTTTTGATCCTAGAGGGTTAAGTCATTCAATGATGGCGGGAAATAGGAATCAAGCCTATAGAGCGAGTTTGCATAACCAAGATGTCGGGTAACCTTCTCAATGTTTTTAATTTCTTATTTATTTTCCGGTTTCTTCGTGGAATCATGAGAAGCTAACTTGAAAGTGGATTTGAAACTAGTAGAGAGAACGTGGTTTGATTGGTTGAAACAAAAGGTGGAATGTGTTTCCTTTAGTTCTCTATGCTTAGCATATGTTATGTTTCAATCAACCTTGGACATCTTAGAACGTGCATACCTTTATTATTTTAGAAATATTGACATTCATTAGTGTTTGTTCCATCATAAAAGTCCACTCTAGAACGCTTGTAACTTTTCTCTTACTTCGATTTATTTTATTTTATTTATTTATTGCCTTGCCTTGATTTTTGTCAAGAGTTATGGGTTAAACTCTTAGGACACCCTTACGAGAGCTTACTCGTCCTTTAGAGCGATCTATGGGGTTTAAAGTGCTTGATGCATGCTCTAAATGCATTCGTGATTCCTACGAAAGTGAGTTAGTGTATATTCTTTCTCTTCTAGTTTTATTTTATTTTATTGTTTTTTTTTAAAAAAATATACATCGTTTTCCGTTGTGTTTGTTTTGTTTTGCTCGAGGATGAGCAAAAGTTAAGCTTGGGGGTGTTTGATGAGTGACATTTATGTTACCCTTAGGGGTAGTGTATTGGTCTCTTTTCTCCTGTTTTTCTTAGGGTTTCTACCTCTTTTCTCCTCTTATGGCTTCCTTTTCTTTTATGGATGAAAAGTATGCTTATTTGCGCTTGTTTTGATAATCTTTATGAATAATTTTATCATCCCCATGCTCTCGTGATCTTTGCTATCTTTTGCAGGTTCCATGACGGTCCTAAGCACGGTAGGAGGCCCCTTGGCCAAGTATGGAGGCATGGGCAAAGACTAGAGGAGCAAAAGGGAAGAAGAGGAAGCAAGAAGAGGAAGTTCAAGAGGAGGTGTGGCCGAACCTTTAAGAGGTTCGGTCGAACCAAGGTGTGGTCAAACTTTTGAAAAGTTCGACCGAACCTCCAAGGCAGTTTCAACCAAGTTTTCAGCATGTTTACAGGAGGGGTCGAACCAGGAAAGTTCGACCAAATAAGGATTAGGGAGGTTCGACCGAACCTACCCTGAGTTCGGTCGAACCTACCCTGAGTCCGACCGAACCTACACAGAGTTCGGTCGGACCTTTTCCCGTTTCAGCTGACTTTTTGCGGAGCTTCCTAAGCAATTTTGTAAGGGGTATAAATAGATTTTTTTTGCTCATTAAAAAAAAAAAGATTTTTCAGTTTTAGAATAGTTTTTAGGTTAGTTTTAGGTTTTAGAGAGAGAAACTCTCAAAATTTTAGAGAGAGAAAGTGAGGAGCACAATGGTTTTCATGGATTTTGGATAATCAAATGAGGAATTTGAAGATCTCCACCTTATATCAATGAGCATTTCTTACTTTCTCTTCTCTTATTGCTTTATTTAGTTGCTTTCATTATGCTTGAGTAGTTTCCCTTCTACTAGGTGTTGAGTGAGACTTTGTAATGATTGTTTGAGTTATTTGAGATAAATTTGATGATAATTGTGTGATTAAATTGATTGAATTGATGTTGGCATGTTGTTTGTTTTAGATTGGATTGATCTCCCATGATAGCACACTTAATTGCATATTGATTTTAGTTTGACAAGGGATTGTGAATTAGAATTGATATATTTGATTGCATTTTGGGTAATTTTCTTCTATGCACCTAGTCAATGAGGGATCTAGGCTAGGAATTTGAGAGATTACTTTTGAGTTTAGTGAATTCTCATTACAATTCTTTCTTTGCATGATTGATTATCAAATGGATTCTCATTAGCTTATTAATTGTTCTAAGTGGATCTTTTCCCCTAGTAGACTTTATCATACCTTGTTCTTTATATGTGTTTTAGTGTAGTTGTAGTGTCCACTATCCATAAACCGATTTCGGCGTAGCTTAAGCATTAGATCGAGAACAATCCAACATTACCGTTCCTTGTGGTTCGACTCCGAACTTACCACTAGACTTGTTTAGGGGTTCGTTTTAGGATTTACAAATTTATTTGATTGAGTGTGGAATGTGCGACCGTTCTAACGCCCATCACGCAACCTTTTTATATTTATTATTTTTCTTTCTTTTACGCATTTTTTGTGTTTCTTTCAGTTTTCGAACCCATGATCTTTTGTAGATATTAGGGCTCTCGGACCACTGTGGCTTGCATTCCCAGCGTGATAACCTTTTACAATTATAAATACTTATATTTGGACCATAATATTGCCAGTACATTAAACTATTATATGATATTTTTACAATTGTACAATACAGTAACAGATAAACCTACCTCTATAAAAGGTAGATTTCCCCCCGATTTTCACCACAAATCCCTTATCCTTTCCCATTTTTTTCCTTTATCCAAAAAATCACCCAAAAAATTTTCACTCCTTCTTCTCCAATATGTTCCCCGACGGCAACCAAAACACTCAAAACACCCACACCTTCACCTTTAAAGAAGATTTAAGGAAAATAAAACAATATCTTCTTCTAATTATGGCGCTTGTAGTTATGTTAGTAGCAATATTAATTTTTGTCATGATGTACAAGTGAAGTTTGTTTATTTTGTCGGTTTAGTAGATTAAAAGCATGTTTTTGTTTTATTATGTTGTTTTGTTGTTAATCATCATCGTATAATATTACCATTATTATTATAATTATAATTACTACTGTTGTTGTTGTTGTTATTGTTGTTGTTGTAGTTGTTGTTGTCGTTTTGCCATTTATGTGACTAATATGATTTATTTTTGCCTAATTATATAATTACTCACAATAATAAACCAAGGGGGAGAAAAGAATTATATTATTTATGGTTTATTATTGTTAAATAAATTTAATTATCACGTGTTTCATTAACAAACTATAAATACGGAAGAATTAAACATATGTGTTGTACATATGATTTATTTTTATAAACTAATCATCACATGATTTGTTGTATTTAAAATGGGAGATCTTATGAAAAGACAATTCAGCATCCTAGATTTATCTGGAAAGAAATTTTTGGAAAGGAAAGTGGATGCCATGATGAATTTAAAAGCTCAAGGGTTGGAGCACACTGTTAAAGATAATAAAAGTCCCTCTGGTCAAACAATTGATACTACCACTTCTACAATGATGGTTGAAAAACCTGTTACTGAACAAGAAAAGGCAAAAGTCTTAGTGTTACTAAGGCATCATTTACATGAAGACCTTAAAACTAAGTACATGATGGTTGAAGATCCCAAATAATTATGGGATTTCCTTAATGAAAGATTTGGACACCACAAAAGGGTGCTCCTTCCTAAGGCATTATTTGACTGGACAAATTTACGGTTCCAGGATTTCAAATCCGTAATTGATTACAGTTCAACCATGCATGAGATAGTATCTATATTGAGATACTGTGATCATTCAGTCATCGATGAACAGATGATTGAAAAAACACTCACTACCTTTCATGCAAGCAACATACTGTTGCAAGAACAATATCGTGAAAGAGGTTTTAAAAAGTTTAATAAATTAATGAGTGTATTGCTTGTTGCGGAACAAAATAGTGATCTTTTGTTGAAAAATCATAATCTTAGACCAACTAGGTCTTTGGCCACTCATCATGAGGCAAATGCAACAAGTTCTTATCCACCCGAGACAAATGCTACACGAAGAGGTGGACGTGGAAATTACAATGGCCGTGGAAATTATCGCGGACGAGGCCAAGGAAAGGAAAAGACACATGTTACAGATGTGTCATGACAGGGCATTGGGGACGTACTTGTCGTACGACCAAACATTTGGTAGACCTTTACCAGGCTTCTGTAAAAGGCAAAGAGAAAAATGCAGAAGCAAATTATGTTACTGAAGAATGCTCCATGTCCTACCCTTGATGTGTCCGATTTCTTCATGGACAATGCTGAAATTGGGAATGATTTCATCTTTGGAGAAAATAACAATGCTTAAATAATCCATCTACTAATGTAATATATACTATGTTTTAATGTATTTTCTGTTATGTACTGTATTTTAAATGACTAGTCATGTACTCTTAATTTCTATCATCAATAAAAGTTTGTATGATATTATTCTAAACTAATCTCATATTTATTTTATGAAGATATGGATATGCCTGAAGTTGGTTCCGAATATCAGTGCCTTTTGGATAGTGGAACAACACACACTATCTTAAAGAATAGGAAATATTTTTCACAACTAAAGTTGTTTCAGGCAAATGTAAAGACTATTTCCGAGTCAGCAAAATTAATTGAAGGATCTGGAAAGGCTTGTATAATGCTTCCAAATGGAATAAAATTGATGATCAATAATGCTTTATACTCGAGTAAATCTCGAAGAAATCTCATAAGCTTTAAAGATGTACGTCAAAAGGGTTATCATTTAGAAACAATGACAACAGGTCAAAAGGAGTATTTATGCCACGGCAGGAAAATATGGCAAGAAACACATTTATGAGAAATTGCCAACATATTCTTCGGGGTTATATCATATAAACATATGACCTGTGGAAATTAATATGATATCTAACTAGAAGTTAGATAACAAACATCTGATTATTTTATGGCATGATCGTTTGGGACATCCAGCAACTGGGATGATGCAAAGAATAATAGCGAATTCAATTGGACATTCAATAAGAAATGTCAAAATTCCTCGATCAAATGAGTTGACATGCTCTGCATGTTCACTTGGCAAATTTATAATAAGACCATCGATGAACAAAATTGCTATTGAATCTCCAAAATTCTTGGAAAGAATTCAGGGAGATATTTGCGGGCCAATTAATCCGGCTTGTGGACCATTTCGATATTTCATGGTTTTAATTGATGCTTCTACACGATGGTCACATGTCAGTCTGCTTTCAAGCAGAAATGTTGCCTTTGCAAAATTACTTGCCCAAATTATCAAATTAAGAGCACAATTCCCAGATCATACAATAAAGAAAATAAGACTCGACAATGCTGGGGAATTTACATCCCAAACATTTAATGATTATTGTATGTCAATCGGAATTGATGTTGAACACCCAGTAGCTCATGTTCACACACAAAATGGTCTAGCTAAATCACTAATTAAGAGATTGCAATTGATTGCAAGACCATTATTATTGAGGTCAAAATTGCCATCATCTGCTTGGGGACATGCTATAATACATGCAGCAGCACTAATTAGATTGAGACCTACAACTTATCATAAATTCTCACCATTACAACTTGTTTGTGGTCGAGAACCAAGTATCTCACATCTAAAAATCTTTGGTTGTGCTGTATATGTTCCCATTGCTCCACCCCAACGAACAAAAATGGGGGTCCACAAAGAAGGATGGGAATTTATGTTGGGTTTGAATCCCCCTCTATAATTAAATATCTTGAACCATTGACTGGTGACTTATTTACGGCTAGATTTGCCGACTGTCACTTTAATGAAGCAGTATTCCCAGCCTTAGGGGGAGAGAAAGTGGACCCACGCAAAACAGAAATAGAACTTATTTGGAATGCAACACAACTGTTGATGTTAGACCCATGAACAAATATGTGTGAACAAGAAGTCAAGAAAATTGTTCACTTACAAAGTGTTGCAAACCAATTGCCTGATGCATTTGTAGACACAAAGAAGGTGACAAAATCACATATACCAGCAGAAAATGTCGCTGCACGTATTGAAATCCCAACTGATAATAAGGCCATTGAGAATGAATCCCAAGCACGCAGAAAGCGTGGGAGACCACTTGCTTCAAAAGATTCTAAACCAAGGAAATTGAAAAGATTGGATGGAATAGAAAATGAGATTAATGATATTTCCCCGTCAGAAGGTCAAGAAAGATCAAATATGGATGAAAGTAAAGAAAATGATGATAATCCAAAAGGGGACGAACACGAAGACAACCCTACAGGGAATGAACAAGATGTTCAAAACGTCGATAACAATGAAATTTCAATGAATTACGTCTCTACCAAGACTCATTCGAATAGGAAATATGTTATCGTGGATGAAATATTTGCAAATTCCATCGCAATCGACATTGTGTCTGATGAAAATGATGTTGAACCAAGAACAGTGGAAGAATGCCGACACATGAGTGATTGGCCAAAGTGGGAGGAGGCAATGCTGGCTAAGTTGAAGTCACTTGAAAAACGAGAAGTTTTTGGAAAAATAACTCTTACACCAGTAGGTGTAAAACCCGTTTGGATACAAATGGGTATTTGTGAGAAAACGTAATGAAAAAAATGAGATAGTTAGATACAAGGCAAGACTTGTAGCCCAAGGATTTTCTTAAATTCCAGGGATCGATTATGAAGAAACATATTCTGCAGTAGTTGATGCAACTACATTAAGATTTCTGGTAAGTTTGACAGTCACAAAAGGACTGCAAATGCGATCAATGGATGTAGTGACTGCGTATTTGTATGAGTCACTCGATACAGAAATTTACGTGAAAGTCCCCGAAGGACTAAAACTACCAGAAAACCACTAACCTAGACAATTACTTTCCATAAAACTAAAAAGGGCACTTTATGGATTGAAACAATCTGGAAGGATGTGGTATAACCGTCTCAGTGAATACCTTATGAGAGAAGGGTTCAAGAACAACCAAATTAGTCCTTGTGTTTTCATAAAGCGATCACAATCAGGATTTGCTATTATTGCAGTTTATGTTGATGATCTGAATATCATCGGGACCCCAAATGAACTCGAGAAAACTGCAAAATACTTGATGAAAGAATTTGAGATGAAAGACCTTGGAAAAACTAAATTTTGCCTTGGATTGCAAATTGAGCATTTGAGTCATGGTATTTTTGTCCATCAATCAAACTATACAGAAAGAGTTTTGAAAAGATTTTTCATGGACAAAGCAACCCCAATCAACTTCCCAATGGTTGTTCGTTCTTTGAATATGAAAAACGATCCATTCAGACCCCGAGAAGAAAATGAAGAAATTCTTGGTCCAGAAGTACCATACTTAAGTGCAATTGGAGCCTTAATGAACTTAGCTAACAACACTAGACCCGACATAGCTTTCTCTGTGAACTTGTTAGCCAGGTACAACAATGCACCGACATACAGACATTGGAAAGGAGTTCGACACTTACTCCGGTACCTACGAGGGACACAAGACCTTGGTTTATATTATGAACCGAAACAAGATGCTGCACTCATTGGATATGCAGACGCTGGATACTTATCAGATCCTCAAAATGCCAAGTCACAAAATGGATATATGTTCACTTATGGCGGCACAACAATATCATGGAAATCAACAAAACAGACATTGACCGCGACATCCTCAAATCATGCAGAGTTGATAGCCCTTTATGAAGCAGGACGAGAATGTGAATGGCTGAGGTCGAAGATTAGTAATTTCCAAAAGGAGTGTGGAATGAAAGCAATAGCAGAAAATCCAACCACCATCTTTGAAGACAATACTGCATGCATCGTTCAAGTAACTGAAGGATATATTAAGGGAGATAGAACAAAACATATATCCCTAAAACTATTCTTCACACATGATCTGCAAAAGGATGAGGAAATAGATATCCAGCAAATTCAGTCTTGTGACAACCTTGCCGACCTGTTCACCAAATCACTTCCTTCTAAGAAATTTGAGCAATTAGTTCACAAAATTGGAATGCGTCATCTTCGTGAACTAAGTTGAAATCAGGGTGAGTATTATATACATTGCACTCTTTTTTCCTTCGATCAGGTTTTTATCCCACTGGGTTTTTCCTGACAAGGTTTTTAATGAGGCAGTATATCAAAGCATATAATATTTTTCTTTAAGGCAACCCATACCCCATTTCATGCGAACTTCAAGAGGGAGTATTGAGAAAATGCCAAAATGAAGTTCACATAACTTGTAGCTCATCACATGAATTTATTATGGACAATAATTTGTCTAAAAGTACAATCATGTATAATATTTTAATGACAATATTTGCCTATAAATAAGTTCACTATCTTGTGAACTATGGAAGAAGATGAAGTAAAAAATAACAACCGACTCTTTTATTTGTTCTTTTTCTCTCTTCTATTTCCACAAACATACGATACCATCCCATAGTTAGAAAGTCATCTTTTAACAGCTTTAGTGTTTTTTATTTTTTATTTTTTATTTTTTTAAACAATCAATTCTTAGATACAGGAAACTAGACTATTTTGACCCCTTTTTCTTTCTTTAAACTATACTGTTAATAGTGTAGATTTTCCTGTATCCTATGGTGGAGTTGGTGGTGCCGTGGTGGTTGATGTAGAGACTAGAGAGTAGTTTTTTGTTCCCTTGGCAAATTATTGTGGGTAAGGATTTATATATAAAAAAAAAACTATCATCTTATGCCTTCGTGGTAAAGATTTGTACAAGATATCAAAGTTTGTCAAATTTTCAAGTACGTTCATATGAATCAAATGGAATTCATTTTCTTGTACAAGGAATAGTTAGACCATCTCTGTGAAAAACCTGCATGTTCAAGCGATGTGTGCGAGGGTCGAGGGATGCACCACAGTGTAAGACTTATTCAATAGTTGTAGTTTTAATGAAGGAAACCTTTGTCTGACTCAATGTTTTTGTACTTGGTAAATTTAGATTTTATGAGTAAATGTCATATGCATTTTTATATATGAGTAGAGTGTTAATGAGTCTAGCTAGTTCATGAGTAGTTTAAGCCCAATTGAAAATATTCATGAATTTAAAATCTACCTAAGTATTTCAATTGGTCTAAGTTGCACCCTTGTGCAGCTATTCTAGCTGC